GTATCCTTCTGGCAGCCTTGCCGCCCCAGCCAAACTCGCCTGTATACGACAATCATGAACAACACCGTGTGAGCCGCCAGCAGCACCAGTTTCTGCCGCTTTTGCCGCGGCAGTTGCCGGAACGCATCTGTCGTGTCAACGTAGACCCTGCCGCCAGCGTACAGGTGCGCCATGTAGCCAAAAACCGCGAGGTGCGCAATGCCCGTGAACCAATTGCCCGTCACCAGCAGCATCAGCGCGACCGCACCCTGCACGCCGTACTCAAGGCCCTGGGGGTATACGGCCGTGGCGCACAGGACCCCAATGCAGGGGGGGATGTCGGCCGTGCACGCGGGTTTGTTGGAGGCAGGAGTGGCGAGAAGCGGGGGGCGCGGCAGGGCATCCAGCTGGGTCAAGCTCAGTGAAGCGGAGTGAGCAGCGCGATCGGCAGGGAGCTGCCGTGGACTCTTACCACGAAGCGGTTCAAGCGGCTGCAGAGGTCGAAAGGGTTGAGGAAGTCATTCTCTAGATCCGAAAGGGAAATTATCTGCCGCGCAAAGAGGGGACGGCAGGAGTGTGGTGGGGCGCGCGCGCATCACACCGTTCGCAGCGCCAGCGCAACCATGGCGCCGCGCCTCGCACAAGCCAGCACAACAACACTCACTGCAAACATATTTCGTCCCAGTAGCGCCGACTGCATGATCAGGGCCGCTATCCAGACCAACAGGTGCGGGGACATGTTGCGAGCTAGCTGATCAGAGTACGCTCAGATCCCCCGAAAGAGAGCATTCCCGCCCAGTAAAATCCTCCTATTGTGATACAATACTGTTGTACAAGCTTCTTGAGCAGCATCCAACGCGACTTCCAGATACTACTGCACTTGATGGTGCCAGGTACTATCGGCAGAGCACAGCGCGAGTCCATGAATGCAGTACTGATGAACTGAAGCACGCATCCAGGGTCGCACCCTGAGCTGAAATTATGCTTGTGGATTCAATAGCTCTATAATCATGCTGCTATGGTAGCGTTGTCCAGGTCACCTGATTCATGATTGTCAGCCGGGGTGCTAGGCGGTTTGACCGTCGTCAGCAGAGCGCAGCAGACGGCATGTTCAAAACCAAATGCCAGGCTCTTGAGCCAGGCAACCAGACATGACTGCCATATGATGAAAAAATATCAAACACACTTGTTGGTCAGGCAAATCCCACAAGACATCAAGTCCTGCTGGGGGTGGCCTATATCAACGGTAACGCCATCACAGGAGGTTTGGCACTGATAAATCAATCTCGGCTTCCGACGACGCGGCCGGCTGCTATCACACAAAACGCCACAAGAAGAGGGCGCACGCAGACATTTCCCTAGCGCGAGGTCGTGAGCGTTGTCCTTAGATGTGTGGGGTGGGGCATTTGCCATCTACCAGTCCGCGCCACCTACCGGTATTACAGCTGGCACAGCCAGCTGGAAGCATCACTATAAGAGGTCCTGGGCGGTGTTGACCTGGTGTTGACGATTGAGCACACGTGCGGACGAAACAGAGACGCCTCTTTGGCTGTTCGAACCCAATTTTAGTTGAAATTCAAGTTTCATAATCAAAAGTTCGCTTGTTGCAAGGCGTGCGAGCAGGTGGTGTGTACCTTACTGCCTCATATTGCGACCTGGTGTCTCCGCTCCATGCAGCGTGTTGATCGTTGAGCGCAGGCTTGGGGCGTGCGTGCGATGTAAGAGAGATGGCGATTTCAGCCAGGCGCAAATGTGGTCTACTGTGCAGGGGTGGGAGGGGGACGAAATTCCGTCTGCTGCCCTGCAAACCCTGGCATCAGTCCAAGCCAACTGCGACGGGTGCCTTGGACGATGGCAGACCATCTCCCACCGTGCTGCCGAGGGCCCAGCAGCTCTGGCATCGCACATTTGAATCTTTTTAGCACGCTGCAAATCCACGAGGCGATTGCTGCACCCTAATCAGTGCATACGGTGGCGTCAGCCACTCAACAACCCAGCAGCCATCACTCAGGATGCACGGTGCGCTTTGGCACCCCTCGTCCGGCAGGGTGCAGCCACGAGCCCCGCTGTGCGTGGAAGCCTTACTTGCGGAAATATTTACATGTCCTACTGTCCCGCTGCCAGCCACAAGCCCATTCCGCAAGGTATGCGTTTTACCAGCGGGGAGGCAGGCATTCACCCTTTGGGGGTTCTAAGTTGAGCACTGTATTCTGTTGATCACAGTATTGCGCGTGAAACGATTCTTGTTTCTGATAGGCCTGAGCCGCTCACCCTAAACACAGCTGGCGAGTCTAGGCGTCGCGCGCCTCGTGTTGGAGATCTGCTGGCCCTGGACGCCTTGCCTATCCAACTTGTGCCTCTACAAGGCAGCCTAGCTCTCGCCGGCCGGGGAGATGGCCTCGCTGTTCCTCAGCAGCATACTAGACGCGTTCGTGGCGCCTGCCGGGGGCCCGGGCCTTCTGAACAGCGGATTAGATTCACCCACGCGATGTGCACGCGACTCTGGGTGCTTGGGCTTCAGCGAGGAGGGCGGGCCGCTGGACTCGGGGTGCACCTGCAGGTGGGTGTTGGGGGCACCTGGGCCGTTTCATGTTGCTTCTATAGGCTTTGGACATGCAATGGTACCGCTTTCGGGCCAGGAAAGGGCCTGTTTTACGGTTGCCTCTCAACTCTTGGCGGCTTGGCCGCAGTGCAATTTGAATGAACGAATTTGATAGCCGAAAGTGGCCTATGAGGCTGTTCTTGGGCCTGCATGCCCGATGCAACGACCGCGGCATGCTGGCGTTTGGAACGCACTGTGTGCGGGTGTTTCGCTGACATCGCCCCCTGTGCGCGCGTGCTCTGCCGCACTACATCTCGTGATTGCGCAGTAAATCTGTCGGCCTGCTGCGGGCGCTGCATGTTGAGGGCTTACCGCTCACGATGACGGCGGCAAAGCTGTCTGAGTTGATGTCAGCCTATGGGCCAGTGCAGTACGCAGAGGTGAGTGTTTGGGCCTCGTGCTCAGTAGCGTCGTACGCGCCATGTATCAGCTATGTGACATCTCTGCGGCGGCGGAGGATCTCTTGCGACGCGGCTGCGACGCAGGGCATTGATCAGGTTGAATTGCTGACATGCAGCGGCGCGCCGCGCATTGTTGGCATGCGCGCAGGCCGCTCCCGAGGTCGCCAAGGATGAGGCGGGCTTGATCGTGGGCCGCCGCCTGCACTGTTATGTGGTCTTCGCCGACCACGCCGGCGCCTGCATGGCCAAGCGCGCGCTGCAGCCGCGGACTCCAGACTCGCCTCGCACGCCGGCTGCCGGCGCCGCCGCGCCGCTGGCGCGCCTCGCCTCGGCGCCACCCTCGCTCGACGGCTCGGCCTTCGTCGGCTCGGCGCCACGTGCCGCATTCGCTGCTGCGGCAGCCGCGGCGGCCGGCTTTCTGTCGCACCGCTCGTCGGCCATGGGCGACGCCCTGACACCCAGGTGGAGCGGGTTGGGAGGCAGTATGAACGACGGCCCCGCGCCGCGCATCAGCAGCGCCGCAGGCGACGCTCTCGAGGCGCTCGCGGCTCGCATCGCGGGCCCCGCCGCCGCCGCCGCTGCAGCTGCAGCTGCTGCCGCCGCCGCTGCCGACAGCGAGCAGCAGCTGCTGCTGATGCAGCAGCAACAGCAGCAGCAGCAGCAGCAGCAGCAGCAGGCTGCGCCGCCGTTGCAGGTCTCCCCGTGCGGCCCCCCCGCGGGCGCCAGCGAGCAGGAGCCCCCCGCCGACGCCGCCGACGCCGCGGCGCCGCCCGCGACGCCCCCGCCCGCGACCCCGCCGCCCGGCGCGGCCCCCGGCGCCTGCACGC